AAAAAAAATAAATTGCAGAATGCCTTTGTGCCTCTGTGTTAATTGGAAAAACACACTGTAGAAAAAACTTTATGCAAATTGAATAAAAGAAAAATCTTCCACTAAAACCTGGAACAGGTTTTTCTGCAGGTCTTAAAAAAAAAGTGTATTTTGTGTTTAATGTGTTTTGGGCCAGACATTCTGATCCTCACCACTGCATCAACAACGGCCTGGTCTGTCCCTCTGGACATTGTCTAGACTCAAGAAAAATCACAAAATACTAAAGGCAGCAGGAGGTGAGAGGCACCGAGCTGGAGGAAAATTTGCAAATGTCTGCCTTTCTGCTGTAAATTGCTGCTATTAATACAACTGGCAACTAAATAAAAAAAAAAATGTAGGCACTCAAATGTAAATTTTAACACACTGTACCACAAAGTGTGACATCAGCAGCACGTTATAAATGACTACTTCATGCTTTTATTTTAGGCAGAGAAAAACGCCTGGCTGTTTGCTGCGACTTACGCATAGACCTTGAGCAGGTGGTCATCCTTGGAGTCAGCAGTGAGGAGATCAGCGATGCTGACGACAGCGCAGCCGAACGGCCGTCGGTACTGCACGCTGCACAGGTTCTTCTTCTCTCCGGCTCCCATCCTCCCTGCACGCACGCACACCAACACAAAGAGTCACAACTGCACAGTCAAGTGGTCCGTACTGTGGCGTCGTTAGCCGTACCTATTCTGATGATGTGCACCACGATGTAGACGTCCTTGCGTAAATCGCTGCTTCCCAAATCCTGACAAGACACGGAAATAAAAAAATAAAAAATGTATTCACCGTACACATGACTGAGTTCTGCCTCACAAAAAGGGCGAACGTCAAACTCACCACGAACAGTGTGCACTGCCTCTCTGTCTTCTCCGGCGACTTGGGCAAGCCGCTTTTATTCAGCCTGACAAAGAAGCGTTCACTGGAGAACATGAGAGCGAGAGACAGAGGACGGGCGTTGAGATGAATGGGGTCAAAGGTCATGACTGTGATGCTATTCGGAACGAGTGCATTTGAGTGATTACAATACAAAAGGAAAGGGCAGCGAATTAAAAACCAATTACGACTGCTGCTCTTGTCACAGTCTCAAAAACACAGAAGTGGAACTCCTGGTGTTTGATCATTTGTCGGCTAACAACAGGTGATGGATCAGTCAAGTAAATTAAAATTATAAATATACCCGGACATTTAGATACATGAACTACAACAGATGATTAGAACTCAAAATGTTAGCATAATTAGCATTCCGCACAAAAGGCTACTTCAAGGTCAAAGCTAACGCAGCAGCCCATGTAATCTTTTTCAGACTTTATTGTAGTACTTTTTGAGTACTATTACATTGGT